TCGGTTTTCTCTTCACCTTTTCCTCAACCAAAAAGTCTGGTGGAGAGGCATATGAGACGGCAGAGCACTTCTCCTGTCCATTGTTTGTCTGCAAACACCTTATCCTTTGAGTCCACGACTCCAGTTGAGTGTCATTATGACAGAGCGCGCAATAGATGTTTCTGTATGTGATTTGAGTGGATCTCCCGGTGACCGGCCATAAGAGGAACTCATCGCGAGATAATGATATCAAATGAGCCAAATCTGGCAGAAAATAATCTTCCATTTCATTGAAGCCAACATTTTCGCACATATTCTTGATGTTATGATTGCGCCAATCGGTCGGGCATTTCGTCTTCATAAGTATAGTATACGTGAACTTAGGGCTTACCCTAACATTCATTATGGACCAACTGGCCAATGGGTTGGCCTTAACTGTCGGTGCGTCCAGACAACAGTCGCCGAATGAATAGCAGTGTTCATCACAATTGCATGTCTCTAACCACGTCGGCTCTCGTGAGGTATATCTGTTGGACTCCGGGGTCGTCGCTATTATAGCCTTTCTTTGGGAACAATTCTTGTGTTCATTACAGAGCAAAGAATTTACATGTCTTAGGCTTAAGGCCAACGTAAGGCATATCAAAATTAATGTCTTGATCATTTTTTGTTTTGCTTTTATGTTTAGTATAAATTAATAATTTCGCAGAGCATTGATTTAAAAAGTGTTTTGCACTTTATGTGACGTAAGCCTCAGATTTGTACGCATTTTGAGCCATTCTTTGGATTCAAAGCCCACATTTCATATTTAAATCAATTGAGTGATTCTTATGGCATATATTTGTTGAACACATCCCAAGTATTAGGATTTCATATCCATTTATTTAAGCCTAAAAGGACTGATACAGCGGTTACGCCACTAAATGTTTCTTTTGTCTGAACGGAATATGGATTAGAAATAAATGTCAGGAAAAAGTGGGATTTGACTGAATTTGTGATAAACATTTTGTATCAAAACGTATAATACAGTGAACTCTTGTAAGAGAGCTGTGAAATGCAATTACTTTTATATGTTATTCTGTTTGTTAGCCAACAGTCTCTCTATAGTTGAAAAGGATGTGCAAATCGATGAATCCGTTTGTTTGTTATAAAAATTCATTTTCAAAACTAATATGACTTTTTCAGCTGAAGATATTGAAAAGTGTAATCAAGTTCTCTATTGTATTATTCGTGAACTTTAACATTCATTTTGTGTATTTTGATAATCGGTGGAGAGATTCACTGCTTTTCAAGCACTAGAATAAGCATTTGTTTGACATTTCCTGTCAATACTCGTAATCTCTCTCTCTCTCTCCCTCTCCCCCTCTCTCTCTCTCTCTCTCTCTCTCTCTCTCTCTCTTCAATTTTATCATTAAAAACATTATTTCAATTGTTATTTTGATGATTTGTATTATTACTAGCATTAACATATAGTAAATGTATTACAAAATAATATAAATAATAAATACGGTAAAGTCATTCACAAAACCTGAGCTCTTGTAATGGAGTTTAATAAAAATTCGGTACGTTTTTGTGGTTTATAATTAAACTTAAATTTAATTTATATACATTTTAAAGTGCAGTGAAATTTGAACTCATTTATTGGTGCAAAAATATTCTGATCATGAAAATCCCTTTCGGTCTTATCACACAAATTCTATATATTTTTTTGTATCGATTTTATCCACTATGTATGCATACATGGCCTATAAATTATGAGCATTTTTATAAATAATATTTATATTTTTTAGTTGTACAAAAATATATTATATTTACCAAATTGTTTTCAATTGTAAATATTTAGATAAATCTCTTTTTATTCTCTTTGACTTTATTGTTATTCATTATTCAAAGATTTAACATATTTTATGATTAAACTAGTTCTGTAGTAAAATACAGTATTAATAAAGTTAAAAATAATTTTCTGTTAAATAACACCAAACGACCCGTTATTTAAAATGTTAATTGCATATGGATTTATTGCCCCCACATTTCACTACATGATATTCTGCACGAATTTCAATCATTTTAAATGTTAGCCTTAAATATAGAATAATTTTTGATAATTTATTATTTTTTCAATGCAATTGTCATAAAAGCTTTTGTTGTATTGAATTATTTTTTCTCTCTCAACGCAGACTATATTTTATAGTAAAAAGGGTTTCATAAATATTTCAGAAAAACTCGAGTAATTGAATGCAGAAATTAATGGATTTCTCACTGATTAAGTCGTTTATTCTGATTAATAATGAGGCAAACATTGTGTACCAAAACATTTGCATTAAGAAATAAAATCGGATTTAATTACAAGTAATGAATCTTATTCTACGGAATTGTTTTCAGCATAAAAAATTGCAGTTAAAACTACCAAAAACTAATTTTTCAAATAATTTCTGACATATAAAAGAGTTTAATTCAATTTATATTGTTAGATATTATATAATGTTATCTCGAATACAGATCCTTATTATTGCTATTATAATACAGAATATAAGTGTCGGCTCCCATCAGCCCTCACTTACAAACTTCACTACAATATTGTACAGAATATTCTCGAGAAATAGTGTTCACTGAAATAAATTGAGTCCACTTTTACTCAGCAAGAGTAATGGCTTTCAAATTATTTTTTCTTCTTTTAGTAAACAGTTTTACAGAAGTTTTAATAACAAATTCTCTGCTTTTATATATAAAATTTAGAAATCGTCTCTCCATTCATTACACAATATTGAGACTCAATTCTGTACCAAATTCTAAACTGTTTAAAATAAAAAACACACTTAAGTTCGTTTTACAAATTATTTGACTAACGTTGCTATATATTTACTGATGTAATACAATTCAATGCTATTTACTCAATTTCGAAAAGCCTTTGGTAATTTGTGAGAATTAATTCATTTGTGGATAAAAATTTCATATATGTTTTATGTTGCGAATAAATTAATGTTAAAAAGGTTTCCATTTGTTTGAATATTTCATTAAATATAATGTTTAGAAAGAAAAATCTTTTTCTAAGCACTTGTTTACGAAAAACTTCTTTAATATTTAATTAAATGCCATTCAATAGTGTTTTCAACAAAGAATTGATTAAAAATTCATTTATAGACATATATTGAGAGTGTTGTGCACTCAGGAGTCATACAAATCATGAATTTATTTGATTTCATACATTGATTTAAGCTTTCATTTCAAACAACTTGTTATATACTCTACTAAATACTCGTATTTAGATATTTCGATAATAAACACTTTATTGCAATAATAAATAAAATCAATCATGAATTGAATGTCAGTACAACATATAATAAATTGCAAACATCTACAGAAAAAAATAATAACATACCTCAAGAATAATGCTTTCACTGATTTGTTTCACTGATGAACGATGTGTTCACTGATTTTAATGCATTTATTCTTACATCAATACAGTAATAATTTTCTAATAAATTACATTGTTGAAAAATTCTTGAAACAAAACTATAAAATTAATTTACCGCTTTTTCGTTATCTTTTATAATTTTCACAAACAATTAGAGTTCAAACAATTAGAAACATTTTAATCGACAAAAAAATCACAGAATAGTCAAGAATTTCACAGAATATGTGTGGACTCGTCGACAGACATGTGAAGGAATGCGAGTCTCAATAATTTTCGCACAGAATTCCGTTCATAACACTCGAGACATAGACTGCATTCACAGCCCGTATAGACATCTCGTGAATCCGTTCATCGATTCCTTAATCTTCAGCTGTATTTCTGCAGCACTTTCTCATCCATTCATTCAATCATTTGATGAAACGATTGATTATTTTGACAAAAGATGTCGTAACAAATTTTATTTTTTGTGTGAATTCAAGCAAAATGTTTAATAAACTGATTGCAACGATATATAAATGACTACATTATGTTAAGTTACGATAAATGAGTTAAAGCTTTTCGGAAACCATTAAACACTAAATTAATTCATTTGTGGATAAAATTTCATATATGCTTTATGTTGCGAATAAATTAATGTTAAAAAGGTTTCCATTTGTTTGAATATTTCATTAAATATAATGTTTAGAAAGAAAAATCTTTTTCTAAGCACTTGTTTACGAAGAACTTCTTTAATATTTAATTAAATGCCATTCAATAGTGTTTTCAACAAAGAATTGATTAAAAATTCATTTATAGATATATTGAGAGTGTTGTGCACTCAGGAGTCATACAAATCATGAATTTATTTGATTTCATACACTGATTTAAGCTTTCATTTCAAACAACTTGTTATATACTAAATACTCGTATTTCGATAATAAACACTTTATTGCAATAATAAGTAAAATCAATCATGAATTGAATGTCAGTACAACATATAATAAATTGCAAACATCTACAGAAAAAAAATAATAACATACCTCAAGAATAATGCTTTCGATGTGTTCACTGATTTTAATGCATTTATTCTTATAACAATACAGTAATAATTTTCTAATAAATTACATTGTTGAGAAATTCTTGAAACAAAACTATAAAATTAATTTACCGCTTTTTCGTTATCTTTTATAATTTTCACAAACAATTAGAGTTCAAACAATTAGAAACATTTTAATCGACAAAAAAAATCACAGAATAGTCAAGAATTTCACAGAATATGTGTGGACTCGTCGACAGACATGTGAAGGAATGCGAGTCTCAAGAATTTTTGCACAGAATTCCGTTCATAACACTCGAGACATAGACTGCATTCACAACCCGTATAGACATCTCGTGAATCCGTTCATCGATTCCTTAATCTTCAGCTGTATTTCTGCAGCACTTTCTCATCCATTCATTCAATCATTTGATGAAACGATTGATTATTTTGACAAAAGATGTCGTATTTGTTGAGCGACTCCTCGAAGTCAACCATTTGTTTGTTTCACTTTTGGACACACTTTTGATCATTGATTGTCTTCGGGGTTGTCTTCGGAGGGCCATCGGTGGTGACCGAAGATGTCGTTGCGATCGGACGGAAGTGTTTACAACTGCAGAGGCAATCAGGTCTTCGCGAGAGATGTATTGATCTCTCGTATTGTATATCAGTGTCCAAAATGCAATCATTTGAGCAAAACTATAGCTGATTCCGACCATCACTTCATTACACGACATCAAAGTGTGAGACAATCGGCGCCAACGGTTGCGCACAAGAAGACGAGACCAGCGAAGGCACGACAGGACGCCATCATTCAGAAGATTGAAAGCGCCATCAAATTGACCACAAAAGTCGCTCCAGTTTTGCAGACAAATAAGACAATTGTTGTCCGAAAAGTGCGAACCAAAAGATCCCAAGAGATTGTTCCGCCGCTCAAAAGAGTGGAACCAGTGGTCGATGTGACCGCTATTTACGGCAATGACTTCAAGGACTTTGAAGAGACACAACCTCTGCAGTCGATTAAGACTTATAGCAAACGAAAGCCAATTGGAGTCGACTTACAGACGACGGCCAACGAGGAAGTGATGGACCAAAAGAGTGGTATAATTGTGTCGAAGCTGAAGAAGTGTGAGTTGTGTGACATGCAGTTCAATAGCATCGGTCTGGCTCTCCTAGTTGTGTAGGTGTGGTTGGGAGTACAGACATCGCGAGGGAAGACACTTGTGTTCAAAGGCTGCCTTAGGGTTGACTTCCGTGTATAGAAGCTCCGGGTGCTCTTCCTCCCAGAAGCGGGTGGGCTAGGCTACCAGTGCTCAGTCTGTGACCGCAAATACGTCAATGAAAGAGATCTCAAATATCATATGTCTGTCATATTTAGTGCGATATTTGATTTGATGGCTATATTTGCGACATTTGTCTATATTTCAGGGAAATTCATACCAATCCAAAGACGTGTGACATTTGCGGTAAAAGAGATTTCTCGTCCAAAGGACTCATCAAACATATGAAGACACATAATAAGGACTATAAATACCGATGCATTCCTTGCAATAAAACATTTCCTTATTATTCAAAGTAAGTCTCGTTTTAATGTTTTGGAAAATAGTTGACAAACCAATTAATTGCACCAAATTATGGCAACAGTTTGATGAGCCATAAGCTGCTGCACACCAACCCTTATGTCTGCGACCGGGAGGGCTGTGGCAAGAAGTTTGCCTCAAAGCACACACTGAAAGTGCATTTCATTAAACACTCGGACGACAAGCCCTATGAGTGCGACTTCGCTGGATGTGGCAAACGATTTAAACACAAGTCGTTTGTAAGTTTGTGTTAGAAATGAATTGATTTGTATATCAAATAATTGATTGCAATCATCGAAATCAGATTCAAACGCACAAAAACATCGCACACCTCAACATCAGGCCCTACGAGTGCGGCGATTGTGGCCAAACATTTGGCACCAAAATCAATGTCGAGCGACACATGAAATCGCGGCACATCGCCAAAGATAACAAGTATGCGTGCGATTGGCCAGAATGTGCCAAATCTTTCCCATTCCAACACCTACTGACCCGACACACGGAGTTACACACCGGCGCCAAACCATACGTCTGTGATATCGTCGGTTGCGATAAGAACTTCGCGACAATTCATTTGATGCAAATCCATAAGAGGACTCATTCGGCCCGTAAGATGAGATGCGATCTCTGCCCCACTTTATTGGCTTCAAAGCAGTCGTGGGCGCAACACATGAAGGCTGTCCACAACGCCACTCATACCCATCTCAGCAAACGTAAAGGTAAGTCATCTAAAACTAAGGTGGAAACGGTAGTCGACGGTTGACTCGGCTTTTAATTGTATATTTTGGGAATTTTTCTAAATTATTTCAACAATATACTTTTATATGATTTCAATGTAATTGTAAACCTAAATCAATTCAAATATAGTTTATAACAAAGTACTGCAAATTATCAATATTCAAGACTAACTCATGTATGTTAGTGTTATGTATTTATATATTTTGTATGAGTTTAGGGGAATTGTGCACATTTTGCACATACAGTACTGTATAATACATACAGAAATCATACGATAATTGTATCATTTATTAAGTAATTAACGATTCATTATTCAAATCAAATGAAATGTTTATTGATTTTGCGATTTTGTAATTGAACTAAATTCAAGTTTTAGACAACAAAACAACAATTTTCTACATAAAAGCTATTTAAATTATACGTCAGTAAAAGTTTTTATAAAATTATAATCGAAACTAATTATGAATAAGAAAACTTCACGAGTATATTTATATTGATTTGATTAATATACTGAATAATACCGTATATACATGAACAAAAATATGATACATTTAGCGAAATAACGTATTGAAAGAATAAATTCATTGAATCCATTGTAAGATTATGTATGACATTAGGGAAGGGATTGGTTAATGAGGTCTGGATATGGCTTAAGGATATAGAGCAGGAATATAAAGAAGTGAAATACACAGAATAAGAATCAGGACAGGTTGTCAAGGCGCTCAGAAGGGAGAAGACGGTTACAGAAGTTATATAGGTTTTATTCCATCGCAACCTAACCGTCTCGTTTGGCAGGTTTTGTGGCACTTCTGGCTTTGAGGTCATCCACTTGTTTCTGAAGTGAGAATATCTGGTTCTGAAGGGCCAACATATGCCACTCTATGGTAGTGGTCAACGCCAACAGCTTTTCCTCCGTTCTTCCCAACCGATGTGAGTTACTCAACAAGGGTATACACCACTAGTCACTGAACTGAAGTCTAGGTTTGTTTATCTAACGATTGGTAAACAATTGGTTTGCAACTATAGACAGCGGTTTATATATGTTATTCTGACATAACACAAGAAATATTTGAAATCTTATGAGTCTTATTAGAGTTGTCACTAAAACAGTGACCAAAAACATCTTAAAGCACTTTTTGGCACTAATATTATATAAACTTATGCTAATTATGCACAAAGTTTTCACTTAATTAACGAACAATTAAAATTCAAATCCAATTGAATAGTTTTCAGAGAAAATTGCAAATTTGAAATAAATGTTAGAAATAACTCAAGAGATTTGTCCGCAAATGTGTTCACTTTTAAGAACAAATTCAAGTGAAAGCCAAACCTATGTCCAGATCAGAGCACATGTTATTTTTCGGACTTCAAAATCCTTATCTCATAAACAACATTAAGACCATTTGCGATAAGAAATGCAAATATTTAAGCCATTTCTCTATAAACATAAGTTTGGTGCACATTACACTATCAGATTATAGGATTAAAGCATTAAATTTATTCAATACGGTATTAAATGTTTTAGACATGAGTTGGAAAATTTTTGATAAATTGATAAGTTTCCGATTTAAGTTTAGTTTAATTTAGTGACTTATTCGTCACAAATGTTTGTACCATATATTCGTTGCCATTCGTTATACATTAGAATATTCTGTAATTTTTAACTGATTCTTATGAAAAGAAATTACTTAAGAGTTCTTTTATGTCAAGTTTAACTTAACTAACATCTTTAACATGAAATTTAAGTAAGTAAGTTTGTATGTAATTTATATTTTTAGTCTTTGATAATTTTGTAATAAAAGTACGTTATATCAAATATTAAATAAGTTTTTAAATAAAATCAAATAAATTTAGAGAAACCAGAATATTCTGGAGAATGAATAAGTTATGGACACTAAGCCATCAATAAATTCATGTTTTATGAGACTTTTTCTCGTCTTTAACTTTCTTCACTTGAATCGCTTTTTGTTTCGCTTTCTCCACGAGTTCTGTGAGCCTTCCCTCCTGAGCCAAAGTCTTCAATATCTCCATAATTAGTGGCAAATAATTATGTTTTCGCCGAATGTTTTCGATCTGTATTTGAAAATTGAAAAAATTAATTGCAATTTCAACCCATTGTTGGCGACAAAAGTGCAATGAGTTCTCACTTTATATCTCTTGATTTTGTTGTCTTCTTCAGCGATCAGAGCCTTCAGATGACTCATCTCAGCCTCGATGGAGTCGGTGTCCATCGATGTCTCGCTATCGACCTGTGACTGTAATACTTGCAGCTGTTTCTCGTAAAGCATTTTCTTATCACTGATGAGTGCCATAAGATTGAAGTGAATCTCTCCCTCGGAGTACTTTTGCATTCGCTTCTCGATGTGAGGTCTGGCGGTGTCCACCCAATCGCCGTCTTTGGGAATGGCACCCAAATTAATGGGTCCCGACTTGAGTCCATCCAATTCATAGAGATGGCCTGAGATGGGAACGTATGATATGAAGTGAAAGACGTCGTCGTCTTTTTGGGCCTTTTGTCCGTCGAAGTCAAACATCTGTTGTCTGGAGAAGGAGTTGTGCACCTCTTTGATGGTATTCGAGTTACTCAACGCCAAGCCCTTCATCGTGGGGTCGAAGTGTTGTATGAATTCCTTTAAGTCGGTTAACGTCTGTCCCAATTGGATGTCTTCGTGCGCGCAGTTCAACAGTATATTAATGATGGCTTGAGTGGCGCACGCGTTGTTGATCACCTGTTTGGCGAAGAATACGTGCTCGTAGTCCACTGCATGGCCCTCGGGTTCAGTCGATGGCATCCATTTGAACAGAAATATCAGTCCATGGATTGGTCTAACCAGAGATCAATTCGTATCTCATTTAGCGATCATAACAAGCAATTAATGGTTAAACAAATGGATTCATACTTAAGATTAACGAAACAGTCGGCACTTAATGAATACAACTCTTCCACTTGTACTCCACTAACACCTGAAGAATAACCATTCAATCACTCATTGATATCAACAAAAATAAGTGCAAATCATTGTAACGATAATTACCAAAACCACGGATCAATTCCGTGAACACTCCTGGATCCGACTCAATGAGACACCAGTCGCCCGCACTTTGATGACCATCTGATGCCATGTCTTCGTGAGTGTCACAACCAATTGATCCAACAGTTCAGCCGTTGATTAGTTGACAAACAAGCGATGAGTTTATGAAAACACAAATTGTGTCCAAAAATGTATTCAACGCTTTCCCTATGACTATGAATGCATGCATTTCTATGGCTTTTATCACACGTTTTATATGAATGCTATTCACAGCCAATTGAATCACATGTGAAAAGCAATGCAAACATCTCTTCGTTAAACTGATTGTGATTTTAAATCAATTAATTTGACAAACAATTGAGTATTTAATTGACATTTCAGTCGATATTATCTTCATCTGAATTGTGGTCTACATTGACATCATTTGAAAGACACAATGAGTTGGCGAATAAAAGTAAGTCTTATTGATATGTTTCATTGATATTCAATAGATATTTGAGTGGTTTTTCACCACACTTTGCAATGCATAAGTAGATGTCTGTGATTACATAATTGCTATAAATGTTTTAACTAACTTTTAAATCGCTATACATAAAATTAATTCGCTATGCTAATAATCACCAAGTAACACAAACCATTGACTTTTCATATAACCAACTAATTGATGTACATCTTTGAACACATTTATTAAATTCATTTGACATTTAAATGCCATTCAATGAGATGGTAATCAATATCAATTGATATCGTAATGATAGTAATCTTTAGTTTACGCATCGATTGATTTAAAATAATTTTTATAAATTTATTTTTTGGCCTATTGTTTGATAAAAACTTTTGTCAATTCATTTCAAGCGTAAAATTTTTAAATTGGGTTTTTATGAAAACATTTTCACAAATATAATATTGTATTTTATTTATTCATTCAATTGTCTTACAGTATGTGAAAAATTACTTTTTATTTTCCCTTTAAATACACTTTAAATATACTTTATTTATTAACCTTACTCAATAGAAATTTTAATCTCAATTTTCTTGATTTATTTTTATTGTACAATATTTTATTTGTCTTAAAGTATATCTTATATAACTTATACAGTACAGTACAGTATAAAAGAAAAGTTTATAAGTTACATTGATACAATAATACTTATTAAATTATTATATTCAAAATTTGTCTTAAATTTGTTCATAAGTTTTGAAATAATGATAATTTGGTTAAATTGACAGTAGATTTGATTTTTAAAAATCTTGTAAAACTAGTCGAAAGTAAATGCAAAACTCAATGATGTCTACCTTTTGGGAGGGATTTAAGTAAGACTTGGTTTCAGTCTGTGGTGAGTACTCAACGATACGTTCGTCTATTATAGCATTTTATCAATAGTTTTGTGTTTATAATTCACATCCATTTAGTTAACTTCATAATCAATGTGTTTACTCAGTTTTGTGTAAATATAACTATTAATTTATCATAATTTTGTTTATAAATTGTGTTGTTTTTAATGCTTAAGATTTGCTCAATATTAGCGCATTGATTGCAATTGAAATGAATCTATGAGCCAATTGTCCTGATTATTGGTATTTTTGTCGACTGTTTTGAGGAAGTTATCCACAATTGGGACCTAATTTTCAATACACAGTATATTAGGATATATTGATTGAATAGTGCGCCCAATAATGGCAAAGGGGAGGCGGGTGTATGTGGTGGGGGTTGGGATGACTAAGTTTGTTCGGCCAGGGGTGAATAAACTGCTGGATTACCCGCAAATGGTGAACGAAGCCGTGACTAACGCTCTCAAGGATTCAAAACTCAAATATTCAGACATAGAGTACGCGGCCGTTGGCTATGTCTTCGGCGACTCGACCTGTGGTCAAAAGGCGTTGTATGAGATCGGGATGACTGGCATCCCTATAGTGAACGTCAATAACAACTGCTCGACCGGATCGACGGCTCTATATTTGGCCAAAAATATGATATCCGGAGGACTGCATGAGTGCGCGCTGGCCGTCGGGTTTGAGAAGATGGAGAGGGGAGCCCTCACATCCAAGTATAAGGATCGGGTGAATCCCATGCAGTCTCACGTGAATGTGTTTTACGACTTGTATGGCATGGAGGCGGCGCCCATCACCGCACAGATGTTTGGCGCGGCCGGCAAAGAGCATATGCAGAGGTACGGCACACGACCCGAACATTTCGCCAAAATAGCCGTCAAAAACCACAGACACTCCGTGAATAACCCGTACTCACAGTTTCGTGAGGAGCACACACTCAAGGAGATCATGGACTCACCCAAAGTTTATGACATCCTAACCCGTTATCAATGTTGTCCCACATCTGATGGCTCGGCGGCCGCTATTCTGGCCTCAGAAGACTTTGTCCGCCGACACAATCTGACAGAACAGGCGGTGGAGATACTGTCGATGCAGATGACGACAGACAGTCCGTCGGCTTTTGAGGAGAAGTCGGCCATAAAGTTGATTGGTTTCGATATGACTAAAGCGGCCGCAGAGAAGGCTTTCGCCGAATCGGGTCTTACGCCGAACGACATCTCTGTCATTGAACTCCACGACTGCTTCTCGACCAACGAATTGATTACTTACGAGGCGTTGGGTTTATGTCCAGTGGGCGGAGGAAAGGATTTGGTTGATAGCAATCAAAACACTTATGGCGGCAAATATGTTATTAATCCGAGCGGTTAGTCAAAGGGATTACTGGTGTTTAGTTTGTGCTAATCTGTAATGAATGCCTGTTTAGGAGGTTTGTTGAGTAAAGGACACCCATTAGGCGCAACTGGTTTAGCTCAATGTGCGGAACTGAATTGGCAGTTGAGGGGTATGGCTGGTCCGAGACAAGTGCCCGGCGCTAAGTACGTCCTGCAGCATAACATAGGACTGGGAGGGGCTGTGGTGGTCGCCATATATACTCTTGGTTTCCCAAACACTTCGCAAATTGTTTCAAAACTTTAATTAGGATTTGAGTTCATATTTTCATTTCTATACGAATTGGTTGAGAGATGCGGAAAACGACGCGTTTTTATATAATTTTAGATATAGTATATAAATTTAATATAATTTTATAATTCGTTATTTTTAAAAATAATTGTTACTGTATAAGCTATTCTTTGACAAAAATACTTTTGTATTTTCTTAAAAGTTTTTATTAAAAAAAGTTTTCACTTTTTATAATTGACAGCAATTTTTTGAGAGGAAATTAATTTTATAGATTATTACTTTTGGGAAATTTTTAAATTACAATACTACGGTATTTTGCAACAATCATTGAGTTTTGTCATTTAGTAAAAGTAAAATAATTTGATAACTTAAATGTTAAAGACTAACTTGAAAAATGGTTCAATATTTTAATAATTATTTTAAAAATAACTTTAAAGTGATAACAATTAATTTTATAATTTTGCATATATCGTATTAATGTTAGTTTAAAACATTGATATTTGTAATAACTTTCTAATAAAATGCAATTACAGTATACTGGAGGCGAATAACCTCTTAATGGATAGATTTGGTGTGAAAACAATTGTCTTATTTCTCACTCGAGTCATAGCTTTATACAAAGTGTATTACAAACACTTAAATACCGGTTATTTGTGTTAAATATAATTTACTTTTGCTTTCATTGAAAACTAAAAAATACTTATGGATTTGGAAATATTGGCACAATTAATGAATTATTTTTACTTTTTAAAAAATACAAACACTTAAATACCGGTTATTTGTGTTAAATATAATTTACTTTTGCTTTCATTGAAAACTAAAAAATACTTATGGATTTGGAAATATTGGCACAATTAATCTTAATAAAAATGAAAAATTTTTGTGATGACATTCTGTAGCGTGTTATACAACATACTGAAGGACACCACAATAACAGAAATTAGCATTTACAGAAAGAATAGAATCGATAGTAAATCTTATTACTTGTTTTGTATCGAAATGAAAATCTAAACATTATTTTTATATGAATTGAAAACACAGAAAACATTTCGTGAAACATATGACAAGTTGAAGACTAATCAGAATGAGTTTGACTTCGAGAAGGCTAGACATGAAGTCTTCAAATTCGGGATTTCGGGTTTGGATCGCACGGAGAAACGCGAGGCGAAGATAGCACACGCTATAAGTCTCGGAGCAGTTGTCAGTATTTAACCACTTTTTAGTAGCACTTCATTTAGTATTTAATTAAAAATTTTATTTTACTATATAAAGCCTCCAAAAGGAAAGCCTAAAAACTATAAACTACTAATGGATGAGAGAAAGGCTATGAAAAAGAAAGTTAACGAAGAAAAGGAACAAAATAGTCAACAAATACAACACAAGACCAAAATCTATAAGTGAGTCAATCCTTCAACCCTTTTGACCACAAATTTAATCCATATTTTTGTATGGATTTAACAGACAGACGAAAAAGAAGCGAAATCCGTTACCTCACTTTCCGAAACTGATGGTCTAGCCGTTTATATCTTTACCACAAGTTAAACAGCTATTTTTTGTTTAGGTTTCGTTGTTTAGGTTTGTCTAGTTCAGGTTTTCGTTATTTGTATCTTTTAAATTAAAATTTATTTATGACTACAAAATATCTCATTGAATATTCAATAATATTAATTAGATTTCGGCTTAAATCTGTCCAAAACATGCTTTTGTGTCGCTTTTGTATTCTTCTGTTTATTTTGTTTGTCTTTCTTTTTGTGCACTTTTTGGCTCACATTTTGTTTGATTTCTTCTCTTATGATCGCATTCTTCAACCCTTTCTTCACTTTCGCTTTCTTCGCGCTTTTCGTCCGCTTTTTCTTTGATATCGACTGCAATTCAATGTCTTTTGGTTTCACATAATTGACGCTTTTCTTGTCCTCCATCTGTTTGACGAGCGATTGTCTGTCAACTGATCCCAAGATATTGGGTTCCAATGATATGAGTTCTGATGGAATCTTCTCAAGAAGTGCCTTCACTTCCATTTCCTTGCGCTGCGATGGAGTCATGTATGGATTGGCTTCGAGTGCGTCAAAGTTGGGTTCACCAGAGCCCGGAATTATCACTGAAGTGAAGCCATTCTTGTGTCCGATTCCTAATATATCTTCAAAGTTACAGAACTCGAGGTCAGACACGGCGTGATTGAGTCGGTGTCTCATATAAGGCGTGTCCACTGGTTGTCGGAAGCAGTCGTTATAGATCTCCACCACATTTCCCACGGAAACGCCCACCAAATTGCGTTGACTTACGTCCAGATGCGATGGCATTGAACGCAGACTATAGCTCTGCAGACACTTATAGTTCCGGATGTCCCACACTTTCAGAGACCTATCGATGCCGGCGCTCACCATATACTGGCCCTCGCAGTCGAAGGCTATGTCACGAACAGCCGACCCGTGACAGAGCATAGACACCACCCTTTCCTTCTGATTCGGTGACCACATGTCTACCGTTCCATTGGGATGTGCGGTCGCTATGATAGCGTTATACGGGTTCTGCTTCATAGCCGTCAGTCGCGGCACTTTCATCTTCGCGGTCGACACCATCTTTCCCATCGAGACGTCCAGCCATGAGATGTGGCCGTTGTCTGAGGCCGAGACTAAGAGGAAGTGGTAGTGAAGAAAGTCTAGTTTGTAGACGCGATACATCTTCTTAAGGCAATGGATTTGAGTGCCTTTCGAGTCGTAAATATAGACCCAATCCCTCTGCGCGACGGCAAACATAGTCGGCATATGAAGCCAATGGATGTCGTGAACCGACTCCTGAACGTTGAACTCACACATCAACTCTTTGGTCACCCAATCCATGGCCGCCACGTGACCTCTTTGACCGCCGATCAATAGTTTGCGACCGTTTCTAAAGTAATTCACATAATATGGTCCCAATTGATCCAAATTGAGATCGAAATGCTTTGTGGCACTCGTTATGTCTACCGATTCAACGATCTCTTGTTGAGTGATCTGATAGGTCTGCTCGTTGTCTTCGGCCTCTAAATAACCGCTCATTTCAGGCAATAAGAGCTCAGATCTGGCGGCGAATCCAATACTGTTCTGACGCTTCTTCTCCTCATTTGTCAGTCTTTTGCGAAACTTCTGGTATTTTGTGGCCGAATACTAGACATCAAAGACAGACATTAAGACAAATACAAGACATTTAAGTGATAATCAAATACTGAATTCATTTTCTTCTTGCGCTCGTATTTCTTAATCTTGTCTTTACTGACGAACCGATTGTTGGCGAACGGATCCACGGGTTGTCTCCTGTGGTCGCCATCCTTCCACTCCTTCACCACATTCTTCTTGAGTCCACTGTTTGTCACATCTGTTGTCTTATTGAAGAACTCTTTAACATCGAGTCCATCACTGGATTTGTCGACAAAATATCTCAAGTTCTTCGAGCCCTTCTTCGCCGGTGACTCCATATGTGGTGACAATGAATGCAATACTCAAATCAAATGACAAATCAAATGATAACTCAATTTAATAGTCAATTAAATGCAATACAAAACAAACACTCATTCATTGCATGTTATAATCAATTTACAACACATTTAAATCACATGTGTTTCTGTTTCGAAAATAAATACTGTGACATTAATACAATTAAAACAAACCCCATAAAATAATTTTACAAACTTTCAAAATAATACAATGCACACCAATTGACCCCCAATTGTATGTCTTAACACTTACAATATTATATACGTATTTATTACAGATATTTATAACTCACTTTCGTAACGTAACTAACCGCAAAAATCGCCACAAATGTTTTAAACTACGTTTGAAACTTAGTTAATTAGGTTACTTAGATTGGTTCACTCATTGTCTCAATAATGGCAGACGTCTTGAAATGTGTTTTGTATGTCTCGTCGGTTGTTGTCATAACTGAAGTCTTATATACCATCCGGAAGTACTTCAAGAAGCGCCGATCATCTGAACGCCAATCGAGTGGAAGCGATGGTTCTTCGAGAGCATCGATGGCTCTCTTCTTCCCGGACTACAGCCTTTGCTGTCCATTCGTCTACAGAGAGGACTACCACACAAATCCCCTGTCATTCAAAGCGCCCGAAAGGAGGTGTACTCGAGAGTTGTGTCCATTCCGTCACTTCAAAACAGATCCCAAGAAAGTCTCGCCATTGAAACAAATGGTAAAAGTGTTGAAATCGGCGCAGAAGTCAGTGGATGTGTGTCTGTGGCTCTTCACCGCCGAACTGTTGGGGCTGCAAACGGAAGTAGACGTGGCGTTCTTCTATACGCAAGCACACCACTAACTGAGCGCACTCCTGCTCTGAGGTCCGTGAGCGTATGGCCGGGAGTTTCGCCGGCCTTATCGGCAGGCTATGCGCCCACAACTGGTCAACTCAGGGATGTTTCACCACAAGTTCGCTATCGTCGACAGCTCTGTACTGATGGCCGGATCCATGAATTGGACATTAAGTGGCATTAAGAAGAGTTACGAAAACATTTGTGTCACTTCTGAGGAGACTTTGGTCTCCGATTATGTCCAGAGATTTGACTTCTATTGGCAAACCTTCTCATCGGTTCCAACAAATACTAAACGCATACCAACTCTGAATCAATTAAACTGATAATCACTTCATTTATCACTCGTTTTTGTAAATAATTCTCATTATGTCCGGGATTTGATGAAAATGTGTACAAATGTATGAATCAATTCATTCCTATGATTGTAATTATGATAATAATTTTATTGATAAATTTGAAAATCTATTAAATTAGTGCTAAAATTCATTTACAAATTGTACTAAAATTCAAACTAATATTATGTGAATGAGTTTGAGTTGCAATTCAATTACAACTAAATTAATTTCTAAGTTATATCTATGGACACAATGTTCACAATACAGGCGCCCGACTACTCATCAGATTTTTGAGTCCATCTCCAGAAGGCGACTCTCATTCTGTCCCAAACGTTGCCGAATGAGTCCATCGCTGGCCTCACGTCCAGTATAGCGAAGTTACCGCTGTTTGAGTCCAGTTTCTGGCCGTCGTAGTAGTCGATGACATACCGCACATCTTCACCGCACCGGTCGACCACCCAATCGTGTCTATCAAATGGCAACTCATAGCCCATCCACGAGCGGATCCGCGCGCGCGGGGAGTAGTCTTGAGCTCTGCCGCCGAAGCGCTTCAGTTTGGGTCCATTCGGGCATTCATTCAAATGGAAAGCCATTTCCCACTTCAGGATCTCTTTCCACGCCATCTCATTGTTATAGTTATGGATTTTGATGATATCTGTCATGTCTTTGGGCGCCATTTGTTCGCCACTTTTATCGCCTTCAACAGGTTTATCCCATTTCCAGCCCTTCCTAAGCATCGCATTCCAGAACATCTGTTCCGACGGGTAGTGCCAAAAGAGGTCTTCCTCTGACTTGGGCTCTGCCTTCGGGATCGATGATCTCTGACGACCCGTTGACAATGGGAAGGGCTGACCCTCTGAAGGCTGTTGATTGGCCACAACCGGCAAGACGGGTAGTGCCAAAAGAGGTCGTCCTCTGACTTGGGCTCTGCCTTCGGGATCGAAGACCTCTGACGACCCGTTGACAATGGGAAGGGCTGACCCTCTGATGGCTGTTGATTGGCCACAACCGGCATATAATTGTCTTGACTTATGGGACACTCGGAGGCCGTCTTTGGTTTGTTGGTTGAATGCATCGGACATTCACTGATATCCCGTCCTTTCGGTGATCTGTCCCTCACTTCCACAGACCCGAGCGGTCCGTCCACTGTCTTCGATGCGTTTAAACCCATTGTCTTCGCGTTAACGAATCCAATGAGTGATTGTCTTAAGTGTCAAACGATTAACACATAATTCAAACCAAAATTGATCTCAAAATTGAAACTATTTTTGACAAAATTAACAAAAGCATGGATTCCTCTCATAACTAACGTTTGTTTTTATTGAGATATTGATGGATAAAAGGCGTAACTCTATTAGGTTTATACATTAAATTCTATGTAATAACAAAACAAAATAAGCCACTTTTGGTGCAGTAAACTATGTATTGGTAACAGTGTTTGTGTTCATTTGGTTTGATTTTGTTGTCAATGTTGTTGAGTCGAAAGCAATTGACCACTGATTTGGTGGTCATTTAGGATTAAATAGACATTTAAGACATCAATTGACACCGAAATGGAGACAAGCACTGCATCCATCCAATGTGATAATCTGATCCAATACTTGTGCCAATTGGGTCGACCACTGATGGACAAGTTGTACACCAATTCGTCGACATCTCTGGCGGTGTTCCGGGAGTTACCGGATTTGGCCAAACATTATGTGATGAGACTCTTGTTTGTTGAACAGCCCATCCCTCAGGCAGTCATCGCCTCCTGGGTTAAGCACATCAGGTCTGCCACTGACTTCACCACCACTTCTGCCACTGTCTTCACCACCACTTCTGTCCCAATGCTTATACAATGTCTTGTCTTTCAGTGAACACAACGAGTCGTCCGAAGTGTTGACCAAATTGAATGTCTGGAAGAGTCAGACACTCCCCACAGGACTTCCCGGTTGGCTATTGAACCAGTCCTTCAGAGACAGCCTTAAGACTGCACTTCTCGGCGGGTATTCTCACCAGTTTGTGTTCATTTGGTTTGATTTTGTTGTCAATGTTGTTGAGTCGAAAGCAATTGACCACTGATTTGGTGGTCATTTAGGATTAAATAGACATTTAAGACATCAATTGACACCGAAATGGAGACAAACACAGCGACCATCGCGTGTGATAATCTGATCCAATACTTGTGCCAATTGGGTCGACCACTGATGGACAAGTTGTACACCAATTCGTCGACATCTCTGGCGGTGTTTCGGGAGTTACCGGATTTGGCCAAACATTATGTGATGAGACTCTTGTTTGTTGAACAGCCCATCCCTCAGGCAGTCATCGCCTCCTGGGTTAAGCACATCAGGTCGCACACTGTCTTCACCACCACTTCTCTCCCAATGCTTATACAATGTCTTGCCTTTCAGTCAACACAACGAGTCCTCCGAAGTGTTGACCAAATTGAATGTCTGGAAGAGTCAGACACTCCCCACAGGACTTCCCGGTTGGCTATTGAACCAGTCCTTCAGAGACAGCCTTAAGACTGCACTTCTCGGCGGGTATTCTCACCATTTGACGAGTGTTTGTGTATCACTTGTATTGATAAGTCTTTGTATGGTTTATGTCTTAAGAGGAGAGCAGTGGTCCGTATATAGAGAGCTATCGAAAGACAAACACTCGCCAGACGTGGACTCACTGGACAGTTATGCCAACAAGAGGTGGGAATCCATTCTCCACTTTATGGTAGAACGCAGGCATAGAGAGACAGATGTGATCAGCAATGAGACGAAGAATGTGTTACTTCACGCCAATCTGATCCGTTTGGACGACCCGAACGGCATTCCCGATATCACCGCCAATGGCTTTCAGTTCCTCCTAATGGACATCAGTTCCCAAGTCTGGCATTTTTTGCTCAAATATTTGGACACAATTCAGAGCAAAGGCCTCGATTTAGCCGAAGCTCTCATTTTTCTCTTTCAATTGAGTTTCCTTTCGTTGGGAAAAGTATTGCGAAAAGTATTTTATCATAAAAACAATGTTTTCATGAATTCTCTTCTCTTCTCCGCAAAAGGATTACTCGACGGAAGGGATGAGTGATTCAAATCTGGCATTACTTCAGAACTTAAGGGAATTTGGTTTAGTTTATCAAAGAAAAGTAATTCGCGTATATATTGAATTTGTGTTTGAATTGTATTTTAATTGCGATTATTATCGAAAGCAGCGAAAAGACGGCAGATTTTATCCGACAAGACTTGCCATTAATCTTGTGAGTGGTCTCAAAGACACGTCGCTTCACAGCAAAAGATCTGGTTTTATAATAGTTGAGACCAACTATAGGGTCTACGCTTACACTGGTATTTGATTAGACTTTTATGAGAATTAATTGTTTTCCTAATTGTGCTGATAATCCCTAATAGACTCAACCATTCAGATCGCATTACTGGCCATTTTCACTGAAATGCAGTACCGATTCCCGAAGTTTGTGTTGGGAGTGATCACCCGAGAGAGCGTACGCCAGGCTTTCAAGTGTGGCATAACTGCCAAACAAATAGTGAACTTTTTGGTGATGCACTCACACCCACAGCTCCACAACCAGAACCCCATAATTCCGGGCACTGTTGTCGACCAGATATCCCTTTGGGAACAGGAGAGGGACCGACTTATCTATAAAGACGGTGTTCTTTACAGTCAATTCAATTCGCAGCCGGACTTTGATTTACTCAAGAAATACGCGAACGTATGCCAAGAATTATACTTTAAATTAAGACTTTATTTGAGTTTAAAAATAGACTTTAAATATATTAATAATATATGGATTTGTATGGCGTGTGTATAGGATCTGGGTGTTCTCATTTGGAGTAATCCTCAACGACGAGTGATGGTTGTGAGCCATGGAGGGCACGATGAGGTCCGCAGATTCTGGAAAAGACATAAAAAAGATCATTAAACTGTGTCCACGAGTTTGTGTCGTATTAATCGTCAAATCATATATTGTTTATATATTAAATCATTTCATAGATTTTTATATTGAATTAAATTTATTTATTAATAAAATAATTTTTGCTTTAATTGCGGGTTATTTTTATCTAAAAATTATTCAATCTTGTTGAGTAATTATATGAAATGATTATAGTTATAGTATGTAGACTAAAGGTTCTGTATAAAAGGTTTTGAAGTTTTTTATTTTACCGGTATATATATTACATTCTAAATAAATATTTAAATAAATATTTAAATAGACTTTTAGTTAATAAAATAGTAAATGAAAATGAGTACCTTGATTAGGAATGAATACTGTGATTTGTGATACAGTACTATTGATTTAAAACTCATTACTTATTAATTGAAGTTAAATATTATTTTTAAAATACATTATTTGCGACAATATAACATTAGTAGTAAATGAGATTTTTATATCTAATTAATGTCTAATTTATATTCAATAATATTCACAAATTCTTAATCTTTTGGGAAAATTTTACAATTTATAATTAAATGTTTTATCTGCAAACACTCTGATATAAGACTTTCTGTTTATTAAGTCTTGAATCTAAACAAATCCCAAATGACATAAAATTTAGATAAATTCTACATTAATATATTTTTGAAATATTTAAAAACACATTTGACTTTATTCTAAAATAAAACTTATTTTTACATTTTATATAAGGCTTATAAATATAAAGTCGATATACTGTATTTGCATGAATATAGTGTATGTTTACGTGAATAATAAGAAATACACGGAATAAAATAATGAAATTCTTTACATACTGTATATTGTGACTGGAAATAGTACTCATTATACAGGGCATCATTAAGCTTACAGCCAATTAAAGTAAAATTAAGCACTAGTTTACACTTCTGTTAGTAAATTTGTGTATTTTTTAGAAAACAAGTACCATTTCATACTCTATTTGAGATTACAATTTAATCTTAGTTTTCAGTTCTTTTACATTAATTTAATACTTCCTAAATATTATTTGCATCTCGAAATATAGTCTTAAATTAACATTTTTAACTATTCTTTGCATTAAAATAGTTATTCATTTCACAATGTATTGACATTTAGTTAAATGCTCGGTTGGTTTGTAAATAAAGTATCATTTTATTGACTCAACTGTTGATATAAATCGATAGAAATAGTCTTTTTGTAAACACAGAGCACTGTTTGTAAGGAATTCAGAGTTAATTAATTTTATTTGAGCCTAATTGCCATTTCCTTTTAAATTAATTTCTTATAGTTATCGACAATTCATTGTACAGTATATCACATAATCTCCGGGAATCATAATTATTATGACATGAAATACAATGAGATTGTTATGTGAGAAATGATAAATTGACTGAAACTTCACAGAATTTGTTGTCATTAAAAAGAAATAAATGTATCAAAATGATATTGTTTTCACATTTCTATTGACTGACTAAATAAATTATTGTATTTATTTTTATTTAGTTTAGGAAATACCATAATCATTATTAACCATTATTGAGTCAATATTATTGACGCTTACAATTTAATATACAAAATAAAATTTGACACTAAATTTGTAACCGAATTCTGTATTTAAGTCAATATGTTTCGACACAATTCAATGTCTACTTTGAATTTGTGCGAAACGATTGTAATATTGATTTTATTTTATTACAACTTTTATTGACTTTCACTAATATTATCAGTAAATACAGTAGAGACTTGAATTACACATGACTTTATTAGTAAATAGAAAAGGGATTTGAAGTTCACACACCGGATATATACTACATTATGTTTGTTAACCAAATTAACGCCAATTCTCAGCATTTGGTGATTAAATAGACATTGAAATAATTCCTATTCTAATCAAATGTCTAATTCAATAATATGGCAATTAATTAGCGATAAGAGACACTTTTATGAATTCACATTCACTCGTATGAAATGTAATTTTAATACTATTTTAGGAATGAAATCGATTTTTTGTATGAAAATTATATTTCACACAATTTACTGATAAATGAGAGGAAATTGAAGAGACACTTTTATGAATTCACATTCATTCGTATGAAATGTAATTTTATTACTATTTTAGGAATGAAATCGATTTTTTGTATGAAAATTATATTTCACACAATTTACTGATAAATGAGAGGAAATTGTTGTTTTATGCACACAATTAGCTTTATAACTATTTTACTTTGTTTCCCGATTACTTTGTATTTAAGTGATATTTGATATAAAAATATTCTGTCGCCTCAGGAATTATAACAAACAATAATTTCTATATAAATACATGACAATTGAAAATATATTTTTCACCAAATCTTGAGTGCAAACAAAACTCATTTCCTTTTTTCTATTGAAATCAGAGACTATTATTTAGTTGTCTTGGAAACCAATTGTGACCGAAAAAAAATCTGTATTTTTGAAATATGTATTAATTAGTGGAAAAACTTACGTAAATAATAATCCAATGGAAACGACGATGAAATGTAAAGATCACAAACAGGGGGTGAAAGGCATTCACTTATATCCGATGATAGGGACGAATAGGTTTTCCCCATAAATAGGTTGTGCCACGAGTTTTGACAAACTTTTCTCACATTCAGACAGAACTTTCCACTTTAAGCTCGCAATCGTTAATGGATTTAAAAATGAGTTCACAATTACTGGGCCGTCGTTTCAGTACATTATTACCCGTCATCTCTTTGTTCGGCTTTTGATTGCTTTTGTCGGTCGTCTCGATGGGAACGACATCTTCGGTGCCATTCATATGACTGCAATCAACTAAACTAATCTTCGACCAGTCCTTCACACTTATGTCAAACTTCTGCCCATTGATGGGTCCGTTCACTGAGTTATCGTTACTTTTATGACTTTTCTCGGCGACGGCCCCCTTTTTAGACGCTTTATTGGCGTCCAATTGTGAACAGGAGTTCCACTTCTTAGAGATCACAATATTATTAAGTCTGGAAAGAGAGCTGAGAAGAGGAACCCGACTCTCCTTCTCATCACTTAAACCGATGTCAATGTGAACGTTGAGACGTCCAGTTGTGAACAGGAGTTCCACTTCTTAGAGATCACAATATTATTAAGTCTGGAAAGAGAGCTGAGAAGAGGAACCCGACTCTCCTTCTCATCACTTAAACCGATGTCAATGTGAACGTTGAGGTCAGTGGACGACTGATTAGTTCCGTTGTCGTTGTGGTCACCCAATAGTGGTGTCGACAACTCGTGTCTGTCTTTCACGTGATTCACATCCTTATGGTTTGTGTTTGTAATGAACTGAAAGTGATTCTCATTGAATGAATTCAAACGTTCAGATGATTTAATGTAAAAAGTAGACGAAGTCTTGAGTGGTTTGGAATGGATTTGTGAGTCAATGGATGATTGGAGGACATCATTGGTGTCACATATTTGGTCTTTCAATACTAGTCTACTCTGTCGTAATGGAAATGCTTTCTTCGTTTGCTTCGGACTGTTGGCGGTTCGGAGGGAACCGTTAGAGTCGAGTCCTTTTAGCCGATGAAAGGCTGGCAAACGTGTGGTCGAGAGATGAAGATTGGAGCCGCCTTTGAAGCCTATGAGTGATCCCTTTCGCGGCAGAAATCCTCCGCCACCGGCGCCTCCCATAGCGTTGCGCTTTTTATTATCATTGGATGAGTATATAAAGTTTGGCACTTTGAGCAAATCGTCCGGTGCTGACTCGCGCCTATGCATCGGACCCTCCGTATGCGATAGGAGCCAATACGTCCTCACCTGACCCTTGCCCTTCATCGGCACTAAACCCCTTTCCTCTATCAGATAACCACCAATTTTGACCAAATAATCTCTACATTGAGGGCTTATATGAATTCTCAAGGCTTCGCCTAAAATTATAGATAAGAAAACATTGAAATCAGTTTTTATTTTGTTTTTTCATTTCATGTTTGATTAGAGCTGTTAATGCATTTCATTATGTTATTTGTTTTAACATGAAATTAAATTTATTTATTTTATTTTTGTATATAAAGTGCTATTTTATATAATTAATTATCATGTACTGACCATTACTTTCCATTCTCGAGGCGGTATTAACGGTATCACCTGAAAGCACAACAGAAAATGTTTATTTGTCTCAATTCCTAATTGTTTTGCTATTAATTCTCTTAAAATAACGGTTCTTCTAATGAGTTTATAAGTAGTATTTGTGCTATTATTACATTCCTAACAACAGGTGGTCTAAACCATTCTGTTTATGTGCTAAGTCTCTCTCTCTCTCTCTCTCTCGCTCTCTCTCTCTCTCTCTCTCTCTCTCCTGTTCTTTAAGAATTCTATTC